CCCCCCCCCCCCTTGCTTTCTCCTTTTTTTCCCCCTTTTATCTCCCCCGTGCCTGTTGTAATTACTTTCCTAAACCTGAAAGACTCGTGGGATCGGTATTACTACTGGACGTTTAGATTTTTTACCCGCTTTCGACGGATTACCGTCCTTCCTCCTCCTCTTCCCCCTTCGTGCACAGCTTCAATCAGCTGGATCTCCCCTCGTACTCTTCGCGCGAGGCGGTGAGGAAGACCCTTGTCATGGCCATTACGGAATGCAGCGAGGGCTTCGGCTTTGCGTAAGCGTCGTGGAGCCCGGGAAGCGGGAAAAGGCAGGAAGGGATGGAGAGAGGGAAGGACCAGGGTGGAGCGAGTAGTTCAAGTGGAGAAGTGTGCGTATTACGCAAGCGGTTTTTGGGCATGCGAGAGAAAGTGGATGGATGCGTTGCGGGAAAAGGAAAGACAGCGCCATGCGCTGTGTGTTGGAAAATGGTGCGAAAGCGAGGACGATGGCGTCAAGCGGTGGGGTATGGAGGGGGAAGGCTGACTTCGAATTTGAACGTGGGGACAGACGGCAAAGCAAGAAACTTGCTTTGAAGGAACTCGCACTGAGTTTAAGAGACTACATAAATGAAGAAGAGGAAATAGATGTGAAGTATACGGACGCACCCAAACGGGAATCGGGAAGTAGGGAGCCAGGGAGGTGCAGAGGGAGCGCCTAGCGTGATGGTACCTTCCAAAGAATGGGCTCAGGGGAAGATAGTAGTAATTGACATGCATGAAAGAGTTGTAGGAAATGGCAAGCACAGATCCAGAAAGATGCAAGAGCGCGAAAGGCATCAAATGAAGAAAAAGGCTTCCCTTTACCTTGTGTCGCGCTCCTGGTGTTCTCTCGGCCGTCAAGTGATTCGAATGTTCTACATGTTTAAAGCTTCTTCGACGCCATGCGACAGGTTTCAGTGTATGAAAATGCCCGATGCATGTGACCCCTATATTCTTACGATTACGGGGGACAAAATAACGTATCCCCGCCGCTCCCAGAAAATTTTCCTCACATTCCAAAGGTGAATCGGTGCCGAAATAATGCGCAGGAAAAAAGGAAGCAAGTACGGCGGAATAAAAGACCAGAATCCATGCTGAATTTCCTTTCGGATATGGAGATTTTTTCTAACCGAGGGATGCAAGTCTCTCAACACTTGTGTCAATCCGTTCCTAGAGGTCACTTGGGAAAAAAGCTCATAGAATGTTGGTAATTTTGTGCAATTTCATAAGAGATCTTACGCAGAAAAGGGATCGAAAAGCGGAGTGCCTTTTGTTGTTTCCTGTGTTCCGAGATCGCTCCTGCCTGCTCAAAGAATCATACCCGGACCTTCAGCGGGAAACCGTCACATTCGTGCTCACACGACATACATACCCTTGCTATTGACAGTCCACTCACTTTTCGTACAATCGTGCTGTACGACAGCAGCTTCGGGGTAGACATGATGGAGCAAGATCATGCGCACGCAGAGCAGCGGGAGGAGAAAAGTGCGGTGGAAGCGTCTTCAAACGGTGCGTTTCGGTGTCTTCCATCTTGGCGGAGCATAAAACCCTGACATCCATAGTATGTCTTCCCTTCGTTTTTTGGCAATACAAGTTCACTAGCCATCTTATCCTCCATGCTCTGTGCTTGTCCACCGCTTTTTCCCAGGCACAGCCTTGTCCTCCGCGTCGGAGCGCACGACATCAAATCCCAAGACCCCCTCCTCCTTCCTTTCTTACGCCCCCCGTGACGCCTCAGAGGGCTTGGCAGAGGGACTGAAATCCATCGCCCTCGGCGTCGGCGCGGGCGTTGCAGGCTTAGTGGCCATGCCCGTGGTTGGAGCGAGGGAGAAAGGCGTGTCGGGGTTCTTCAAAGGGCTTGGGCAAGGCGTCCTAGGGGCCGTGGTCCTTCCGACTGTGGGGGTCGTGAATGGCGTGGTGGAGATAGGGGCGGGTATTGTGAATACACCAGAGGTACGTGACACGAAGGCGGTGGGTAATTTCGATTTTTTCGTGCCTGCGGCTCCGAGTTATCCCACAGCCGGGGGAGAGGTTGATTCAGCATTTTTTATGCGTGAGTTGCCAAGCTTCCTGTGCGCTGAGGGTCGTAAAACGGTATTAGACCGGAGGGAGGAAGGGGCGGACTAGGTGGTTGCAACAAAAATCAGGGTAGAGGCAAAGCTTTGGTCGTCTTATTGAAAGAAGGACGATGGGAAACGTGGGGTCACGGTTTTCCTCCTCTCCTTCCCGCCCCTTTGCCCTGCAGAGTGTGAATGCCCGAATGGAAGGGCGGTCTTGGGACGAGAAACAGCGAAAATGGATCCGTTACGATTTGAAGGAAGAGGCCACCCGGGTCTTCCAGGAGGAGAAGGAGGAAGAA